CGCTAGCCTTGTAACCAGAAGGTCCTGGGTTCAAACCCAGTGGTGTGGGTGTGTATTGCCGAAGAGTCCCAAACTTGGCTGACGAAACAGCTGTCCAGTACTTCCTGATAGTTCCCTATGTCAGCTCATGATGAAATCCTGAAACCAATCAAATCCCTAAAAGCCAACATTTGAATAAAAATTAATAGTTGCTAATAATAATAATACATCACTTGAAATAACATTTTAATTCTATCCAAATTACATTCTAATAAACTACAAGGATTTTTGGCGTAAAACTATATACTACTGATTAAATGAGATCAGTAGTTGCAGACAACTCATATCCAGCAGTATTGCATGCTAGCTAGCCAGATTGAGGTGATCTAAACACCAGTGGACGGCCGTTTCGCTCGTTTGGGGCTGAGCTCATCACCTGCGGTATACTCACTTCGACCCAGCTAAGAGGACCGAATCAGTCAAAACCCGACGATTTCTAGCCGGCTAGCTAGCTAATTGGTCAAACTGGTCGTACTATAAATTATTGAGTAATTTGCGAATTGGTAAGCAATTTACGAGCCATACCTGTTCGAATGGCGAGATTTCAGCTTAATTTCCTTTGAGAAGCAAGTTATTTAAATCACCGCAATAATATGATCTGGTACCAAGATTCTCCCTAATTCCCTGAGTAGTAGTGTGGTGGTGTGGTTCAGATAATGTGTGTCAACGGAATATCATTCTCATATTTTCTCACAGTTCACCTCCGGCTGGGCGTGGTGTTGTACGCCTGTAATATAGCTACTTGGAGGCCAGGGTGTGGAATTCTGCAGGACGGGGAGTTCTAGCATATGGGTGCTTATGTTGGTCGGGTGTCCACGCTAAGCACAGCGCCGATATAGATGACCTGTCGGAGGATGGATTGTCCAGGTCGACTAAGCAGATGGTTTCCATGCGCCAACTGGGCTGTCATACGGCCCCCATTCACAGACACTATCCCGCTACCGCACCATGCGGGGACTTTTGCCTGCTGGGTTTCCTCCCTGGGCCGGTGCGTCCCAGGTGCTTATTCTCTCTGGGTGGCTATTTCATCTTTAATATGGGACCAGAGAACGAAGCAGCCGTTGATATAAGTCTGCAGTGGCTTGTTGGAAGTGCTTTTCGTGAGGGGCGTGCAGTGCAAGTTTCTGACTCGTATAGAAGAAGTGACTGACTAACTGACTGACTCCACATTTGTGTTGAACGGAATCGGAATCTTGTTCTTTACGCTGGCTGGTTGAGTGAGAGCAGAAGATTTCCAAACTGGTTTCAGGTTGATAATAATAATAATAGTTTGCTTTATTCTAGAAACAGTACTAGTGATACAGTGTGGAATTTTCAGCATATATCTACAATATTTGCATCTAATTTTATCCAACGTTTAAAAGGAGTATTTCAAAAAAAATAAATATAAAGACAACAACAACAAAAAAAAAATTTTAAAAATGCGAAAAGTTACCAAGAAGTAGAAAGGAAAATGAACAACATAATAAATAATATCTCAGTATTGGGTAGTGGAAGCTATGACGTGATTATGCATGGTGACAGTAAAGCTATAGTCATACAAGAAGTTATGAAATGATATTTAAGTATGTTTATCGCCAAGATGGTCAGTTAGTTTGGTTGGAACAACCCTAAACAATCATAGAAGAACATTTCAGGGTTGTTGTTTTGTTTTTATTGTCAGGTCTAATGCAGTGTTTGTAGTGGTAGTGTGAGTAATCCTGAATAATACAAAATTTCAAGATGGTGTTAATGGCGTTCACAACCAATGATTGTCAGTTAATATTGCCGAACAAAACAACAACCACAAAACTAATATTACACGGTGGTAATGACAGAACAATTTTGTAATACTCATAGTGCTAATAGAGTCGCAACCAGTAGATACACAATAGAAGGAATAGAATAAAGTACAGAAAAAACGTTAGCCAATGTTAATAATTTAGGTAGCTAAGTATGTTTAAGAAGGAGTTCACTAACGAGTACAAAATAAGAAAGAAATAAAAGAGCCTAAAATTATGATTATTAACAACAAAGCAAGTCATAGGTTTCGCGCTAAACATTGTCTCTCTCACTTAGAACACGGGCCAAGTATGGTATCGTTGAGTTCCTGTACTTGGTTGTACGAGCATAGATTATTTTTTACTGATTTCTGGTTCTACTTGATGAGATACAAGGCGAGAGTTGGGAATGGAGGGGTTGTTGGGGGTCAGAGAGTATGGTTTTTGACCATTTTTGGCACGTATTCAGATGCCTTTCAACTAATGTAGTGACGACCTGATTGAGTTTTACACCACTAGTCCTACTAACTACCTTCAACATCCTTCTCAGGATGGTATAGTCCTATTGCAGTAGCCCAGGAAAGGTGCAGGCGTATCTTAGACAGGGCATTCATACTGATAATATTGTCCGATAAGATTATGAATACAAAATTAAATTAAGTGTGAAAATATTGACAACAACATAATAATAGAAATAGTAGGGGGCCGTTTAACTTAGTGTTTCTCATTAAGTTGGTAGTGCCCTTCCTCATACTTTTCTCATTATATAAAATGTGTGCCTGCCAAATAAAGTATCGTAGAGTTTTCTACTAAGTCATCCGAGCATACAGTCTTCCATAGTTACTTCTGGTCCTACCCAATAAGATGCAGCAAGGAGAGAGTTGTCTATTGGAGGAGATGGTCAGAGTTCGACAAGACAATATTTACTAATTTCTTGCCTTAGTTCATGTGTTTATCGACAACAGTATTAACGAGTTGGTGTAGTGACAACCCACTGGCCTTACTGATGGCTTTTAATGTCTTTCGCAGTTGGAGAAACATTTAGATCCAGCTTGAAGTAATGGACAGCCAGCTGTTTCGTCAGCCTACTTTGAGACTCATTGTCAGTATGCACCCACACCACAGGGCTCGAGCCAATGACCTTCTGGTTACAAGCCTACTTTGTAGACCGTTCAAGCAAGTTTACCAATTCGTCATTTTAGAGACACCACAAACTGATGAGGATATCAAAGCGTGGGGATAGGGAAAGCAAGGCAAGCTTTCATTACTATCAAGTCTGTGTGGACATCAACACTCAGCACTCAGTATGAAAAACAAGATCCGGATTTTCAACTCCAATTCGAAGTCAGTGCTACTATATGGATCAGAGACTTGGCGCCTGGCCACGTCACGAATGGTACTTAGAACAAACTACAGACCTCTATCATCAACAGCTAGTTGTCTTGGCTCAATACTACTCAAGATCAGATGGACGGCCAGAAAAGATCAGCGACAGGGAAGGACCTCTTGCAATGAACGAACCAACTGTGCAACAAATATTCAGGGAGAAATGGAGGTGGATTGGCCATACTCTGAGAAAACAAACCATCAAGTGAGCGACATCACACACCAGGCCATTGCTCGAGTGGAACTCGAATGGGAAGTGGCGAGTCAGTTGGTCGTCAGTGCGAGGGTGACATGGAGGAGGAGAAGGTGATGTGAAGAGGAGATGAAAGTATGTGGACAGACGTGGAGTCAGGTGAAAGTGTTGGCGGAGAACCAAACGGAGTAGTGCGACTTAAGCCCGATGTTCCTCTACCAATTAAAGGAAACAATTATAATAATAATACCCACCCACGTCATCCATGGCGAGTATTTGTCCCCAATCCTGACCTGGTGATGTACTCCACCCACTGTAATCACGACTTCCTATTAGAACTCGCTCCAGACAACTTCGTTATCCTGTAGTCAGTGAGATTAATTTTCAAATGGGTAATTTCTGTAGGAGTTTAACTGGTTTCAAGTTTTGACAACGGATTGCTAATAAGACAAATTACGTAACCAAATATCACCCCTTGCCCTACCATTTCACAATTCCTTCCTAATCTCAGCAGAAAGGCATTTCTCAACACATCAAAAGAAAGTTAAATTGTAGGAAACTGAAAAGTAAAGAATCCCGATAATTACGTAATCCGCAAACAGTCACTGTCTCCTAAACACAAATATATGTATATAGGCAGGTTTATGCCTTCATGAGAAAGGATACATTTTAAACTAAGCATGCGTTTCATTTTTGTTTAAATTTTTTAAAAGCAGACTGGAGCCTAATTCTCTTCTATGTTCTCTTTACCTACCGCAGGGAATTTTTCCACAAAGCCTCAGGCAAAAATACAAAATGATAATAGTAATAATAATAATAATAGCAACAGAAATAATAAATGCCTTTTCCCCCCCAATAAATTCCCTCTTCACCATTTTCTGGCGATTACTATACTTATTTTCTCTTTTAAATATTAAAATAAGCAAAATTAAACTGTGATTGGTTACCATGGTCACGAATTATGTATATATATCTGTATATATGCATACATAATGACATACATTTGACATACTATCTCTATTGAGAGTTTTTAGAATTCACAATCGGTCAATGAATAATTGATCAATCAGTCGTCTGTTCAGTGATTCAAGGTGGGCGCGACATAATTCATTATGTTTAAAAGAAAATTCCCTGGGGTTTTCCGTCTCTCTCCCTCATTTATTAGAATCATAAATAAAATAGACATTTTAAGAGTGTATTTTTCAATTATCTAACGTTTTCTCCTATGTCTGTGTACCCTTTAGATATATGTATATATATATTAATTATTATGATTATTATTGTTAATATTAAATAATTTCATCATTTGTCACCCCTGTCTTTTGTTTTAATGTCTCTTTTTGCGCAACATTTAATCCCAACCAATCAGAATGATGCATTCGTAAAAGGCGGGAAATCACTTTAGAATTGACCAATCAGAATCAAGATAGCCAAAAATAATAAATATTTTCTGAGGAGAAAAGAACCTTGCTGTGTAAAAGGATATATATTATATAATGCCTATATATATTTTGTACTCAAAGCAATAATTAACAAATAACTGAAACAATTACGGTGGACAGGATTTAGGGAAAAGTTTATCAGAGCTTCTCGCCTCTATCCAGCTCTCTCTCGAAATAATTATGTCAAGTAATAAACGACCTTCATTTATGGTTCATGATTTATTACAACAAGAAACTGATGAGACACAAACGTTAAAATATTGGCAATTACAAGAGTTGCTTGACTTTCAAACACATAAAAAGTCTCTCCTTGATCAGAGTAGTAATAATAATAATTGTAGAATTAACCCGAACACAAACAATACTGCTACTGCTACGCCTCTTAATACCACTGCGAATACTACTACTACTACTGATATGAGTGATTTGAGTAGTTTTTATCCAATTTATCATGAGAAAACAAACCTGTTCAATAATCAACATTGTAAATGGGATACATCATCACAACGTTTCAACGTTTACACAGATGATTGGAATAAACATCTATCTGGAGTACAGCACAAGGGATTTTTGAATCAAAAGGACGAAGGTAATAATTCGTTTTTCTGTTTTCTCTTTTTGATTATGATGTAACCTTGGTTATTAATTGGAATGGTGGGGGGGGCATAAATTTAATTTATAACATGATTAGTGGATTAGGTGGCCAGGCAAACTCTTGAGTAGGGCTCGGATGGAAAGCAAATGACGAGTTGGGCGTCACTTTGAGGAGGGGCATGGAGTGGCTGGGTGGGGTAGGATTGGAAGCTCATGAATAATTATGGAGCCAGCTAAAAGAAAGGCAACAAAAAACAGGGTGAAATGGAGATGTGCCTTAGGTAAACTCCTAAGTTCCATTCAGAACTCACGGGAATAATAATAACAATCGGTTGAAACAATGAAATGGAAAATACTCGTCCAGATAATGAATATAAGAACAAAAAAAGCTCAGAGAAAAGTCTCTTTTCGATGGCGAATTCATTTACAACTAGCTGTACAATCACACTTGTTAATATTGTGTGTGTGTACATTAGGATGTCAAATAAAAATGAAATAAAAATTATCAATTATTGGTTCTGTGGGGATCTTGTTTGTTTGGTTGGAGGATTTCATGACGAGCTGATATCAGTTAGAGAACCACTGGAAAACCAGCTGGAGGTACAGGACAGCCAGCTTTTTCGTCAGCCTAGTTTGCGGATCCGCTTCAGCAGGACTCACCCACCGCCAGGGTTCGAACCCACAACCTTCTGCTTACAAGACGAGCAAGTTCGTAGACCATTAAGCCATTGCGATCCGATCTAATGGAAGAAGACATTGCGAAGTGGTCACGCTATGTCGTGAATTAGCTGAAGTTGCAATTCATGGACTGACCATTGGATTGTGTCTCAGTGACTTAATGGTATACGAGCCAGCTCGCCTTGTAACCAGAAGGTCGTGGGTTAGAACCCCGCAGTTTGAGTGTGCACTGATGAAAAGTCCCAAACTAGGCTGACGAAACAACTGGCTGTCCTGTACTCCCAGCTAGTTTTCCAATTGTTCTCTAACTGATGTCAGCTCATGATGAAATCCTCCAACCGATCAAGATAATAATTTGTTAGGTTCACTGCTTACTTCATCAAAATGTTTCTAAAATGTGATGAAAAATCAAAATTGTAACTAGGGGGTAACAGTGAATCAATAAGGAGTGTTATAATTGAACATATATATTCAACACTGGTGTCGCTCAATATGTGTAAGGAGAATTCCCTCAAAGTCATCTACAAAGTCGAAAGAAGCCTCCCGAAAACAGTAAGCTTTCGTATACTTTGCATTGCCGGGGAGGTCTTAGCGATCTGGATAGAAAATCCTGATTTATGTACACAAAGAAGAAGCTTCTCCACCCCCTTCTCCTTCTTTCTACCCTGGGTATAATTCGAAGTTCTACGACTTTGTTAATAATATTCGTTTTTTTGGGGGAATGTTCAACAGTACACATCCAAACCGCTGGGTTTGAACTGACAACCTTCTGGTTACAAGGTCAGCGAGCTCGTAGACAATTAAGCCACTGGGACCCGATGTTAATCTCTTTTTGAAAATCACTCATGTTGTCCATTTAAATAGCAATCATTTTTTCATGTTGTTAAGAAAATCCTTGTCAAAATATTCCAGGAACTTCTAGAATTTTATATCCAGAGTGTGACCGTTCTACCTCAGTTTTCTGAATATCAGATTAGAATGCAAGAGTAGATTTGAGTCGCTGTGGTAGAATTATTTAATTCAGTTTTAGATTTTCCCGTCGATTGATTGAACCGAAGTGGTCGGTTTTGTGCGGATGCTTCGACAATATCTGTGGTAGAATGTATGTGTATATTCCTTCACGTTCCCAGTGGAACATAGGGCTTCCAGCTACAGGCTTGAAGTTTCTGTAGCAGTGGTGTTTACTTTTACAGGATGGGGTCTCTAGCCTCATGCCCAACCTGTCCTCTTCACCAGCTTTTAGTTCTGGCTCAGCGAGGTAAAGGAGTGCGTCCACTGGCCGAGGATCGAACTCCGAACCATGTGCATGGTTGGTGAGCGTCCTAACCGCTGTGCCACCGATGCATATATATATATATATATATATAAAGGTGGTTGCAGAGAAGAAAATTTCCTTTTCTCGACGAAGTCAACATCAACTTGAAAGCTGTGCATTCGTGTATTTATGTGGTAAATGGGTGAGAAAGTTCCACAGATATTTCCTGTCATGGGTCAAATTAATAAAGTTAAAAAGTGTAATAATAAGGGAGATGGGGGTAGAAAGGTCATAGATACCAAGAAACTCGACTGTTTGTGCAATTAGGCATTAAAAACGTAGTAATAACAAAATAGACAGGATGTTCGGATAAACAAAATAGTTATACAGATAGGCATTTTAAAAAACAGCGCAAAAATAACAGAAATAAACAGGAAGACTGGATAAGAAAGGTAATAGGATTGTAAGAACAAAAGGCAAGACATGGAAGTCAAGGTATATTCTCAGGTAATCAAACCGCTGTTTATATCTTTACAGTTTATATTCTTTAACCAGTCACTGAGCTTGTGACTTTGGCTTACATTAAGCGACATGAAATAGAATGTTCAAATACATATATATCGTATTCTTTTGATAATGTCGTATTGAACACTGGGAATATGTGAGAATAATATTCCGTTGGAACACAGTGTCTGTATCACACCACTACAGGTCATTCATTATTTGATAGGTATGACGTTTAATGACGGCCATGGTAGAGACAACGTCTGGACGTATTTCTTTTGAATGCATAGCATGGGCTTGAAATTTTAGATCTCCAGTGCCTCAACTATCCACAACCAGATGCTTTGATTTCACTTTATTTTTGAGATGTTTGATCGAATCTTGTATATGACTTTGAAGAACTTTTCACCGAATGGAGCTGAATGTCCTAAATATTCATCAGGTGTTGCATTACTGAACTATATCCATCCTTGAGTTCTCCTTTTGCTGACCATGTTGAGTAGTGTTTCCTAGCCCGTTTTAGAAGAGCGCGAATAGTACGGTCAGCGTACTTCAGCTCCACAAGAGCAAGTCAACTGGTGTATGCATGTTGATGACTTCGTTGGAAAGAAAATTTTCTTTCCTGCGATAGTCATTTTAATAATTCCAATAATCTAATGTGCATATTGATTTATTTAATATTGCCGTGGGTTCTGAGTGGAACATGGGACTTCAACAAAACATCTTCACTTTCTTCTATTTCCTGCTGTCCTCTTCAACTGGCTAGCCCAACGATTCCCCATAATCTGTCATCTTCTCCTTCAACTCACACGATCTCCTCCATGTCAACCTCGCACAGATGACCCACTCGCCGCCTCCCATTCGGCTTCTACTCGGGCGATGGCCTGGCTGGCCAGCGATTTCATCCGACGGCCTCCTCATCGTATGTCCACTCAGTCCATCTCCATTCTCTCGCATATATTTGTTGAGTAATCGGTTCTCGCCTGTTGGTTTGTTGCCAGCCAGAGTTTCTCGTTGCTAATTGTTTCTGGTTGGCTGGCCGGCTGGCTGTTCATCTGATCCTCAGTATGGAACCAGCGAAGGCAGCTTTGTGTCAATTTCATTACAAGATACAGGAAACTAAAGATAAACCATCAAGTCACTGACCGAGTCTTAATGAAGGATTGTGCGCAAAGGTGTATCAGTTCAATTTACCTTGCTTCGTGTACCATACAAATGAAGGACAAATTCAAAATCGAACTTTAATGAGCAGAAATGTACAGGAGGAGAAAAAATTCCAGTGATAAACCTGAGGGTTTAATGGATTTAGGAGGTTGTAAAAAGTGATGAATGCATCTGTACCATTTAGAAGAATTTTGATCAATGTCACCAAAAGTCTACAGGTATTAGTTTTAAGCATATTGATGGCCTCAGATCGATGGTTTACCCCCCCCCCCCCGCTGTGTGGATCAAAGCAACAGTCTAAGACATTATGGGTTAATGCCATATTTCAATTCGGGCGCCCTTAACACCCCTTCCAACCTGATCCTGTATCATATAACATTACTTAGTAGGGAAACCAGTAGCTTACAATGTTCAGCATGTGTTCTAGCCATCTTCACAACCCCATCGACCTTAGTCTCAAAGAAACCTCCATGGAGAATCCAACAAATTATTCTGATGCTCGCTAGTGACTTGCTACAGGTTGGAGCTTCCTGTAGTTCTAGTGAGAAGTCGTGACCAGTGAGGTGCAATTAGAAGTCACGTGTGTGGATGGATGTCCCACCAACGACAATAGTTGGGGTCGCGCTAAAATCACGAATTGGTAGAAGTTAGAATTCATGGGTTGGCCATTGAATCGGGTCCCAGTGGCTGAATGGTATACGAGCTTGCCTTGTAACCGGAAGGTCCTGGGTTTGAATCCCAGTGGGTGCGTACTGCCGATGATTCCCAAACTAGGATGAAACAGCAGCTGTCCAGTGCTCCCTGGTTTTCAATGGTTCTCTAACTGATATCAATCCGTGATCAACTCGTAAAACATAACTAATCCTTACAAACCAAACTATAGAAAATCCAACACAGTTATAGGCACTAGAGGGAATATATATATATATTTCATCTAGTCAGTGCATACTGAACTTAGCACTGAATAAATTACCTAGAAAGATAGTGAAATTAATTTTGATTGGACACTAGTCAGTAACTAGTGTCATTTGTCTAGTCTTTTGTTTGGTGCAGACTGAATTCTATCAGTCAAGTTTGTCATGTGGTCACCATGCCACTAGGTGGCTTATCATATCAGCTGGTTGCAGGCAGTTGGCAGGAAGCCTCACTTAACCTAGGTTTCATGCTAGTTGGCATTCATAAGTCAACAAGGTATATCGACAACCGTTGAGGAACTAACGATGTCCATTCTGGGATTCGCACCTGTGTCATGCAGTCAGTGCTGTAGTAAGAGTAGCACGTCGCCACAATTTGAAGTGCACAGTGGTGGCAAGTCACCTAATGGCATGGTGGCCTCATTACAAACTTGACTGATAGTATTCAAACTGCAGTAAACAAAGGACTAGACACAGTAC